ACACTAAAAGGATGGACCTTTTTGGGGGGAAAGCATTTGGTTTTAGGGGGTTTTTGGGGGTGGGTGAGGGAGATTTGGCTGACCTACAGTAAGGGAATCAGTTATCAGGCTCTGCTGGCCATGTATGGTTATCTCCATCGAGACAAGCTCTCATAGCTGGGCCCTCTGAGTATGTAAAGAACAAGCTGAAGGCAGGTGCCTCACTCAGGTGGCCATTCAGTGGCAAAGACTACATCATAGACCCTTTTAACACTGGACTGAGAGCTGTGAATACCATAACCATGTACTGAAAATCATGACTGCTTTCATCAGGAAGTCTAAAAGAAGAGAGTAGACCTTGATTAAGAAACTTTCTTTAAGGACCATGACCTTTCCCGCTCAAAGATAGCTGAGGTACTGCATGCCAGGGGGAGCACCCCTTTGATCTGTTATTTGTATTTTATACCAGGAGGGGAATTCTTCAAGATCCTTTTGTCCACTTGGAACGTATGACTCCTCCTCCTCCTCCTGTTTATGGAGTTCTTTTCCTGGATACCTGTATTTGTGGAGGACCTAAGTGGCAGTGGAGGATAGTCTACCATATATGGCTTTGAGGGTGGCGTATGCAAGGCATGCAGTGACAAGTATAGCCCCAGCCAGTGCTGCTGGCTCCAATGTGTGGGGTGCATGCACTTTAGATCTGTGGGCCAAAGTCATCTCAAAGGACTCCGGCTACTGTAAGATAAGTAGGGTCTGGTTTAAATCTTGATTTTTCATTAAAATCATGAAATTAAATGGTTTTCATGAAAAATGTGATTTGCAATGAAATGCCACGATATGACCGGGGAGTTCCCCAGCAAGTGGCCATATAATTGCATTTTGTTGCAACAAGACGGCTGCTGCAGGCTGGGGAAAGCATTCCTGAGCCAGCAGCAAAATCCTAGTAGCCCAGGGGAGGGAGAGGAGGGGTCATAAAAGGGACAGGGGGAGGAGAGAGCTTGGGCATGGGAAGGGGAGGGGAGGGGCTGTTTGCTTTTCCGGGTGGGAAAACTGTGGGGGGGGCAGGAGACCTCTGGGACTGCCTGGGCCAACGGCCCTGGCACCAGACAGAGGAGGGACTGTTTGCTCCTCTGGGCAAGAAAACAGGGGTGCCAGGGTTTGGAGACAGGGGAGAGACCACATGTGCGAAGGAGCAAATAGCCCCTCCCCTACCTGGTGCCAGGGCCATCTGCCAAGGCAGCCCCAAAGTTCCCCCAACCTCCCACACCCCAGTTTTCCTACCCGGAAGCTAGGGGGGCCATGGGTTTTTCAGCAGTGATCCAGAAGCCTTATGAGCAAGGCCTCTGCTGCTGCCATTAAACCTTGCCCCAACCCTGTCCCCTCATCATGGGAGAGGGCACCACAATCTGGGCCTGAAAATGGCATCCCCTGACACGATCGGACCATGATATTAGCAAGACGGGCCCGTGATTTAAACCAGGCCCTAAAGATAAGTATCCTTCCTTTCTAAATAAGGCACCATTGATAGAAACTGGGAAACAATGGAGGGAAGAAATTCTTGAAGTTGTTACTGACTCTCTCCTCCTGGGCTTCCCATGAAGGAAGTACATCTTTATGAGGCTTTTATCAAGTCAGACAGCTCTGGTTTTGTCGCTATAAAAAGTAAAGTAGTTGATATTAGCTAGCTGGTCAATTGATTGCACACTGGAAGTACAAGTTGTGCAAGGTTACTGAAATTTGTACTAATGCTCTTCACAGTTAGTAATATACACTAATTACCTTGATAAAGCTACTGGTATTATATTGAATAGCAAAAGTTGGTATTATGGGTCATGACACTTGACTGAGTGGGATGTATTTTGGTCTTTTTATTTTGTAACAGGGATGTCAAAGATACAGCCTGCAGGGCTCCCATCATCCGGTGCTGCCTCTCGGTCTCAGAGTTGTCCCACACACTACATGTGGCACATACATCCTGAACCATCCAGGGTGTCCATTGCATGTGGCACAGTCCTGGACTGGGCACCAAATGCACTAGATCTGCCAGGGGGGGTTGTGGGGTGAGAGCAGGACATTTGGCTCAGTCTGAACAGCTTATACTTAAAATGGCTGGAGCAATCATGGAAGTGATTAACTAATATTAGCCCTAATATTCCTGGACATAGGTAAATGGCCATAGTGACTGGGAAATTTAAGAGCTATCAGATATTTAATTTGGCTTTGCTGGCCCAACTCAAAACTTTCCTTTTTGATTTCAAACCACTGTTTGAGGAGCAAGCAAGAAGAAATTCCAGAGCAAGCACATTGAATTTTTTATTCTGTTGTAATTAAGGGCTGCATATAAACATCAGACGAAAGTTTAGTTGCCTCAATAGGAAAACCTACTGGGGGAGCCCTGTACAAATGCTGGAGGGGCTGAGCAGGTACTGCATAGATAGCATGTGTTGCCAGTGCTGAGAGCAGCTGAGTTCATAGGGCATTGGTGATTGACTGGCTGCCTCAGGGGACCACGCTCCCCGCTAGTGAACTCCTCACAATCCCCACTCCCTTCTTGAAGTGAGGCTTTGAAAGAGGAGACCCAGAGCATGTCTTCTCCCTTGTTCATTGCAAGCATGTCAATTTGTATTTTAGCAATCTGCAGTGGATCACTACCCCTCTGTCTCAGGGTGGGCTTTGGGGGCCTTGGTCTGGGGGTCTGGGTCTTGGGTTTCTGCAGTTCTCCGACCAGGGGTGTAATGCTTGCACACACCCAAATTCTATTTGCCGCCTTTGAAAAAAGACAATAGAATATTGGTTTATAAAAATAATCAGTTAAGAGCATCAAAAGTAATCTAGTTTACTTGTATGCAACTTGCCCATGCTGCTGCAAGATGGTCACCTTATATAAACCATCTTAATAGAAGCTAGACACCGGACTCTAGCATTCCAGTGCTGACAGCTAAGAAGAACATGCCTGGCATTTAGGGAGCTTCTCTAATAATCCCTGCAGAATGTATTTTTTTTATTTAAAACAGATTGTTTCTAGCTCTTACAGTTGGACAGTAGGCCTGTGCGAATAGGGAGGTATCTGATTCAGATGCAGATTCGGAGGACAGTGATTCTGTTCAGTGATTCAAATCACTGTCCCCATTCAATTCGGCCGAATCAGAATTGGAGATTCGGCTCAGCCAGGGAGAGGCAGGCACAGCTGAGTGGCTGCAGGTTCTCCTGCGGCTCCTCCAGCTGTGCCTGCCTCTCCCTGGGTGGGGGGAACTGCAGGAGAAGCCCCCATGGCTGCCCTGCTTGGCCCCAGCGTCCCAGCACTGAAAAAAAGAAAAAAAAAGCCCTGCACTCACTGGCTGCAGCAGTGGAGATCAGGGTCTCTGAGGGCTCATAGCAGAGCCCCCCTGCACAGCACAGGGTGGCGCGCTGGGGCGCGCCCCCCCCCCCCCCCGCCTGGCACCTACATGGTGTGGTTGCAGTGTGGCTCAGCAAGGTGCTGCGCGCTGTCTGGGAGCTGGGATGGCTCCAGCAGTCATCTGGAGCCCATCACTGCTCAGCCCATGGCCCCAGCTTCCAGACAGTGCGCTGTGCCCTGCTGAGCCGCACTGCACCTGCCCCATGGGGCAGCTACCACACGGGTGCCAGGTGGGGTTGATCATCACTGCCCTGCACTGCATAGGGGGGCTCTGCCATGAGCCCTCAGAGGCCCTGATCCACGCTGCTGCAGCTGGTGAGTGCGGGGCTTTTTTTTTTAATTATTTATTTATTAAGTGCCAGGAGGCGGGGGCCAGGCAGGGCAGGGCAGGGCAATCGTGGGGGCTTCTTCCATAGCTTCCCCCTCCCGGGGCGAGGGACGGACAAACGCTAGGGCCAGAATCTTGCAGCTGCTGATTTTAGATCGGCTGTGCTTGCCTCTCCTCAGCCAGTCTAAATCTCCGAATCTCTCCGAATCTTTTCCAAATTGACTTGGAGGCTTCAGATTCGATTCAGACCTTTTAATGGGTCTCCTGTTTTGATTTGGATTCAGAGATTCGGCCCCCAAATTGGGCCGAATCTCCTCCAGATTGAATCGGCGACCGAAGCTTTGCACAGCCCTGTTGGACACAACTTAGCATGTGTAAGCCTCTGCCACTTTTTCTGTGAACCTGCAGAGACATGACCTGAAACAATTTTAGATGCCAAATTCCCTAGTACTCAAATCCTCGTTCAGGTGCACAGACATGGATACTGCCCATTTGTCCATTCTGTAATCACTACTACAACCTTATAATATCCTCCATCCCAGTGGCAGTCATACAATGCGAAGGTGATATAGTACAGCACAGTCCCCCAGATGTCAATGCATCCTGTGCATTCTTCATGTCTCAAACTATTTTGAACACACTTGATCCACAGTGGTCTGCACTGTTGTGCAGAAAGGGGATAGCTTGTTCTGACCCCAGCTGACTTCCTGCCCCTGGGGCAGGGGGCTGGACTTGATGATCTTCGAGGTCCCTTCCAGCCCTAATGTCTAGGAAATCTATGAAATCTATGAATGGTACATTAAGTCACCTTCCTTAGTTGTGTGCTAACTCCTGTTGTGTATTGTAGTTCTGTACCTCAAAACTACTCTGTATCTGTAAATTTATTGAGGTTCCAGTCATCCCTTTTACATCTGCTCCAAACCTTGTACTTGATTTGGGCAGTGGGGCAAGTCAGTTTACCTTCTGGATGTACAAAATGGTTTTCCTGAGGTTGATTAAGGCTCATGTTAGAAACTGAGTTTTTGAGTGTCCATCCTTCAAGCAGGTTATTTGTGCTTTTAATAAAAATACTTTAGGTTTGGACAGTATTATATTTTTTTGCTTCGAGAATTTTAATAAAAATGGGCTTCTGTCAGAATGTAGAATGGCGCTTATTCTTTGTGGCACAATCAACTTGGAGATGCAAAATGGACTTGCATGAGTTATGATGAGAGCGTTTGTGATAGGAGCCATGTTAAAAGCAAATCTACTGATCTACCTAAATTTCTGAAGCATGTGATCTCTCTTGGTCTTCAGCTGAGCTAGATGCTGAGCATGCCCAGAAGGTTTTGGATATGGAGCATACCCAGCAGATGAAGCTAAAGGAGCGTCAGAAGTTCTTTGAAGAAGCCTTCCAGCAAGATATGGAGCAGTACCTTTCCACAGGATACCTGCAGATAGCAGAGAGACGAGGCAAGTTTTGGAACATCCTTTGCTTAAACTTTGAACATGTAGTTTAGAGGCCAGTGAGCAAGTGTTTTTTGGGGGGCTAGAACAGTAGTGGATTACAGCCCATTTAACTATTCCAGTACCTGTATTTTAGGTGTCCAGCCCCCAGAGTGAAAGGCCAGCGTTAGATGCCTAGGCTTCCTCAACAATGCATGGAGAGGGCTGCAATTCAAAGGTTCTTCTCTTAGGTGATATGCATGAACCACCGTGCTGGGGAGTCAGACTCACTCCCTCTTTCTTTCCTTCTGCCCCGTCAATTTTGCATTTCTTTCTGCATGGTAGCATGACTTCCAACAGGAGGAATAGAGGGTGCCCCCACCTGATGGAGGCAGGAGCTGGGAAACCAAGGCTGGGGTTTGTTCTGGGCATGTGTACAAAGCTGAACTCCAGAAGCCTGCCAAACAGGCTTTGTACACATGGCCAGAACAACCCCAGCCTTGGTTTCCCAGCTTCTGCCTAGTGAGTTTAAGTGACTTCCATGCTAGTGGCCAGTGAGCTGGTGGGGTGTGGATGGATCTGGCTATTGCTTTCCTTTTGCACTTGCTTTGGTGGGTTGGTACAACATTAGTAAAATGTATGGTAAGTAGACAGGAAGCCCTCACAGAGTGATACAGAAACAAAATCAGCATGTCTGCATGTGCATTTGATCTTGGATTTATAACTTAGCCACCAGGACTGATCAAGAAACAACTGTGAATTATTGTTGCATATAGTACTTTGCTGGGTTGCTGGTGTCAAACACAAGGATGCACTTTAATTGAAAAATCCAGTAACAAAAAGAAAGGGTCGAGTTGCATCTCATTTTACATTTAAATGTCAGCTACATTCAGGTGCTTCACCTACATGTCTTCACTGTTGCTTCAGCCTCATGCTTTGCAGTGTAATCTTTACTGTGAAGTTAAATGTAAATAAAACCAGATGAAATCTGTTAGTAACTAATATTTGTTATTTATGATGTGCAGTTGTGGCAGAGAATGAAAATACATTTTTCAGAGTGGACGGCTGAAAGTATTTGCCTAGGTAACATGCTGTTCACTAGATTAAAGCAGTGGTTCTCAACTGCAGTGAAGTGAGATCCTTTGAAGGGCGATACGAGGTGTGAGGAGATAAGCAGATAAACACAGACTTAGGCTTGTCCCTGCCTGGCCCTTGGACAAGGAAGCAAGCACTGTAATATAAAAAATAGTTTTTGAGATTGGGTGCCACTCAATTTACAAAAGTTATGGAGAGGGCATCGAGTTCAAAAAGGGCGAGAACCACTCAATCGAAGGAGCAGATGGGCCTTCAAGCACTGGGCGTCTTTATACTCTCAGAAATCAGGATTTTTCATTAAACATCGCTGGTGTGAAATCCCCGTCCTTACCCAGTGTCTTGGACATTAGTATCAGCTTTGCATGCTTGTACTTTCTTGGGATGAAAGAATTATTGTTGTTTTACCTACATACAACCTATGTATTGGTACTGACGTGTAGCCCATTTCTCTACCTTTTTTCCCTGAGAGATTTATATTAAGGGTGCATGTGAGGAAATAAAGAGTTGTGAGACGAGAAGACAACAAAGTCTGGATAGTAATCTCCTTAGGGCAGTCTTGTCTCTTCACAGGCATTTCTGGACCTTCTCTTCCAGTAGGGGGGCTCTCATTCTTTTGGGAGTATCTGGATGCTACTGCATTGTAAATATTCCTGCTAATAAAATAGCTGTTTGAAAAAGCAGTGATGTCAGCCCCTTTTCACGACAAAAAGGGTATGAGAGTAGTAATATTTTTTGCTTCTAGAGATTCTGAAACTTCCTCTTGAAGTTAATTGCTCTAGTGGTCCCCATCCTTTGTACAGCACAGCTGGTATAATAAAATAACTTGTGTTGAGATGCCATTAAGATATATCTTGTTGACTGAAGTTAGTTCTGGTAATTGATTAAAGACATAAGTGTTTCACTTCCTACCAGTATATGCAGTAGTGAGCATTATCTGTTTAATAGTTAATGGCATGGTATATTGCTGTAGTAATTTTGGAAGTCATGGCAAGTAATATCAATTCTTAAAGAAGCCAATTGCGTTTTGCTTACAACATATCAGAGTTAACAGGTCATTGAATTATTTTTTGCCACAGAACCAATAGGCAGTATGTCTTCCATGGAAGTGAATGTGGACATGCTGGAACAGATGGATCTCATGGACATGTCTGACCAAGAAGCACTAGATGTCTTCTTGAACTCAGGAGGAGAAGACAATAGTATGCTTTCGCCAGTGTTGGGTATGAAATGAACCACCATGGCACACCTTGCAAATCTGTGCATTGTAGTTGCATAAATAAGATACAAGGATCTCCCTATTTTCTAATGTATGCTCTCTATACTGTGTATAGATTCGTAGTTAATCTGTGTTCAGATGGCTAGTATTTCCACCCAGTTCTCAGGCACAAGACGCAAAGGGAATATCTACACATGCATTAATGGACTTTAGTTAATGCGCCTTATTTAGTATCTTTGGGAATTTATACATATACATTTTTGTGCTCTGGTGTGCTGGAGCTGATGCTCTCTGCACTGCATCGCATGCAATTGTATATGCGGCAAAATGTGTGTCAGCATGCAGCAAATGGCAATGGTGCGCTTTTGAACTAAAATACCTGTTTTTTAGTTCAAGTGTGCCACCACCATTTTCTGCATGCTGATGTGCATTTCACTGTTTATACAATTGCATGCGACACAGCGCTAGGCACTTTTTGCACCGCAGGGCTGAGCACTTTTAATATGTGTACAAATGCCCTCCATTGTGAGGTACTAGGAAAATGCGCGTTAGCCTATTTTGATGCACATTAACTAAAGAGCAGAGTTTTTAGTGATGCTTTAACACACATTAAAATATACTAATGCGTATTAAAGCACATGTGTAGACCTGTCCAAAGAACTCACACGAAGTAGCTTCAAAGTGGATTTTAATTGTGGTAGTTAAGATTTGTATTTAAGTCCAATATTCTTTCCATAATTTGTCTTTAATTTGGCATTTTGAAACAAGTCATAACTACTTTCAGTATAAGAGCTCCTCAGAGTTTGTCACTGTGGCAAAGCCTGCAGAGAGACTTTTGGAAATCTTATGGTTGGAAATAATACTGGGTTTCCAGGCCAAACTAAGTGATTGTTTTATTATCCTTGAATCTTGTTACTGATGGATGGGGCTGACAGTTGTTTGTGTCCTCCTTGAAATGATTTACAACTGCTTTACATTACTTGCCATTCCATCCCATTTATGCCCATTTCACTGTAAGTTGATCCATGTTGGTCTAAGTCTTTTAGAGGTAGTAGGGTTAGCATCTTTTCTAAGAAGCAACTCTAATGCCATTCCTTACATTTTACATCAAAGTCTAGTGTTCCTTGCTTGGTGAGAACACCATTTAGCATACAATTTCTTAATATTTTAGAATAATGTTCTAATATATTGAGCAGTCCTGGAATCTCTTATTGAGCGAGTCTCATTCTGGCATATCCTAGTTACTGTTGGATTGATAATCCAAGTTTTGTAATCAAGACACCCTAACAGATTTTGACAAGCTGTAGCCTGATGAATGGTCTGACTGTTAGTAGGAATTTAGTAACAGCAGGTCACCTGAACCAGTTGGTTAATGTGGATTAACTTCCCTGTACTCCGCCCCCCTCAATAGACTGAACTTTAGTTGGATTAAAAATAATTGGTGGATAAATGCCTGTAGCACATGCTCAAGTCAGAATAGGTTTTACCACGTTAAACAGCAAGGCAAGTGTCAGAATATCATGGGAAGAGTCAAAAGGGTCGTGGCCAGGAGGCAGAGTAAAGATCACCTGCGTCTCTTGCTTAGTCTCACTATTTGGTGTCGACTAGGGGGAGGGAGCCAGAGGACATGAATGAGCTAGGAGCCAAACTACTTCAGGCCTTATAGACCAAAAACAGCACCTTGAATTGACAACAAGTGGAGGTACACAGACCAGTTGTGTAAAATGGTAAGTAGTGTTCCACAGCAGAGCCAAAGCTCTTGGCTTCTTAGTCAGACTAAATACATTCAGGCCACCCATTAACCACTGCAATTTAATGCTACCCTGCTGATGTATTTTAACATAACAGCAGCATAAAACAGGAATAGATCTAATCAGATTCTGGCTCAGTAGATTAATTAATTTTGTCTTTTCTGTTCTTTTCTTTCTATTTAAAGGGCCTGACTCAGATACCTACCCAACTGAAATAAGTCTTTCGGTTCCAAGCCAGTCTGAATTAAGGCAAAAATGGTCTTCATTATCATCAACGTGCACCGACTCTGCCAGCCAAGATGCAAGTGAAGGAGAGTCTCCTGTTATCCAGTCTGATGAAGAGGAAATTCAAGTGGACACAGCCCTTGCTGCTGTAAATACCGAGAGAAAGAGCACTTCAGATGGTAGTGATGAAAGTGACTCTCAGACTATCTGAATCCATATACTGTGTCCTCTAAGAATATTTGACTGATGGATGGATGGATGAATGAATGAAGAGCTTGCCTGTGTAGCACTTTCCTATCTAATCATGAAAGCCAGATCTTTTTACTAATAATACAAAATTTCTACTAGTTTCCCAGTCGGGTAGAATTTGGTTATTAAAAAGTTACTTAACTCATACTTTTAACAGTAGGATCTTGGGGTGTTGGAGCAGGTAAAGCTTTGTATATACTGTGTATAGAATCAAAGGGCAGACTTAAGCAATTCAAAGATTACTGGTCAACATACCTTTAGTTCTTTAACGCTGATGTACAACACTGAAACCAAGTTGTTCCTTAAAGTCTGCATGTTTCCTCTGCTGCAACTGAAAACTTGAGCAGCATGCCAGTTTTCCTTTTGGTTTCAAACCCTCACCCTTCTGCAGTGATTCAACAGCAGCAGTATCTAACTCTCCCACAGGACTTTAGCTACACTAGGTGATGATAAAATGAAATCAATAGGCACTTGTCAAGGGATGGGAGTTGCACATTGAAATGTCACCCTCCTGTTGGAGCAGCCATCTCAGTGCTTGTATAAACTTGCTCCCTTCCTGAAATAAAAGTATTACTACCCCAACCTCGTCTTCCTGCTTACACCAGTCCATTTCCTGCAGGACAAGTTTGAAACAAGTCATTTGGAGACATTTGATTAGTGATCAAAGGTGGTGGTCACTGATTTTGGGGGGGGCGGGCAAGGCTTATTCTGTATACCATCAGTTTGAGCAGTGTGCTACCTGGAAAAATGACTGCCATGAAATCCTTCTAAAACTCTGAGGTGTTTGCTACGTGCCTCTGCTTCCCTCCTATCCTTGACAGTAGTTCCTTCCTTCTAAGATCTGAAGAGGTATGACACCTCTCTCTTGTCCAACCTCACTCTGGCTACTTCAAAAGAGTAGCTTTGCCTTTAGGAAGATCCTGGTTTCTGCTCTTCCTGCATTGAGGGGGATAGTATAATCAGAAGCAGTTTAGGTAAAGGGTGAGGAACAAGAGAAGCTCCTTTCAGAAGACCCCCACCCCTCCTTTGCTGGCAAAGCTACTGGAGTAGAATGAGGAAGTCCCTGAAACTCGCCAGCCTGGGACGGACCACTTTCCTGTAGATTCAGCTTTCTCTTGCTGTTTGGCAGATAGTTTCCAACTTAAGTCAGGACACAAACAGTCTAGATGATAATTGGCCATTTGGCAACTTACTAGCGAGGTGGAGATCAAATTTAATGCTTTCTTTCAGATAAACGGATCCCTTCATTCACTAACTTCCCAGAAGACACACAATGTCCAAAAAAGTTTTCTTTTTTTTTATTAAACCTCGTAGTACAAACCTGGAAAGTAAACAAAAGGAAAAAAAACCTGGCAATAAACAACATGAAGTCTTTCCTTACAAGGAAAGAGAGCAGAGCAGCGCTAATAAATTAAATGTCAAACTGTAAGCCATAGTCAGAAGTTTACTGTCAAGAGGGAAAAGTACACAGCAAGGCCATAAAAACCAGACAACCACATTTGAAAACACTTGACTCTGTTTATGTTATTGTTAAATATTCCAAAACAGTTCAGTCTTCTGCAACAACAACCAACAAATTGTATTATAGGACTTTCCTGACAGTCACCACTGGCAAGCTCAGTGCAATATGGGTAGCTACGGTATTGTTGAATTCAATTATGAAACAAAACAGTTTGTGAAAACATTTTCCCTTTTTTATTCCACACATACTGTACACAACCAGAAAAGGGCAACAGCTACTCCATTATTATTTTTTGTTGTTGTTCAGTGATGTAAGCAGCACTTATAAATGTTACAAGAAAAACCCTGTAAGCATCCAATCCAACCGATGAAGAAAGTGAAACGTAAGGCTTTTCTTCATCTTGTCTCCGCATCACCCCTCCCCCCACCCCAAGAAAAGGCTCAAGTATTTAAAAAAATTTACAGGTATATGTACAAAAGGTGTGATTTGTTATTTTTTTGTGGGGTTTTTTTTTTTTGTTACAACATGAAGAGAAAAAAATAGACAAGATGAAAGCAAATGCATTTTCACATTCAAAAGAAATAGGCAGACCTGCTAGTGGCTCTAAATGTGATCATATAATGAAACAAATTCAAAACAAAAATTAATGCTCGACTGTGTAAAGGGTGTGAAAAACAGCAGTGGAATGGAAATGGAATGTTAGAAAGATTGCACGTCTATGACAAAGAAGCACTTATGGCTTCAATCACTTTATTTTTCTTTTCTTTTTAAGGATGCTATTGAAGGGTTTTTGATAAAGTAGCCAACAGCACCAAAAAATAACAGAATGGATTTCCTAATGAAATCAGGCACAGTTTTCCCCTCACGTGACTCCTCAAGGCAGGCAGTCTTCTTTTCCTCCTTTTTTTTATTTTTTTTTTTTCCCCCTCGAACAGATGCATAGTGATGTGCTGGTAAAAGAGAACATACTTACTCCAAATCTCCTCATTTTGCCTACGGTTAGGAACCAAAGTCCATCTTCAGCTGCCATAACCTCCCAAAGAAAGAGCGTATTCTCCAATTTAAAAAATTACAAAACTCATCTTGCCGTGACAGAATAAAAGACAGCCGAAGTAAAGCAATATCTTTCAAGTTTTGTCTCCTATCCCTTTTCGCTCTAGAAAAAATCTGCTCACATGACTGGAGAACAAATTATAAAACACATCAAACTTTAACCTATTCAAAAATGGGTTGAAAGCCTTTTTTCACAGTTACCAAAAAAAAAAAAAAAAAAAAAAAAAAAAAAAGGCTTTTTTTCAGCCATAGGGACAATACAAATTAATTTTTTATCAGCCCCTCGCCGGTTTTAAAACAGTGAACATACGGCAGTTTAAAAAAATCTGACTGCTGTATCTAACTATCCTAAGTACAAAAAAAATTCAACAGTTTAATGCTAAAACAAAATTAGTTCTCTAAAACCAGAAGAAAATCTTCTTTAGAGCTAGTGCAAAGACAGCTTGTATTCTACAGCAAGTACTCCAAACTATGGTATAATAATTACAAAAAATATATATAAATCGACAAAATGAGAGTGTTGGCATCTTCAGGATTAACTTGAAGCACTTTTGGATGAACTGGAGGATGAAAGCCTAGATGATGGCACGTCGACTGTCGCTCTCTTCCGAGGCCCTCTTTTTGGTGTAGGCTTGCTGATACAGTTCTCAATGCTGCCATTTTTACCAGATACTTTTCCACAGATTTGATTGACTAGACTGATGATTTGTTCCTGTTTGAGGAGGAGGAAAAACAAACCAATTAACAGTTTTGTTTCTCTTTTTCCAGCTACAGATGATTGCAGAACCCCCCTTCCAAACCCAGCCATCTCCATAGCGAGAGCTCATGAATGCCACACCATGTTTGATCCAAGAGAAAGACCTGCCACCAGGGCTGCAGTTAGTTTGATTTTGAGATATAAAAATGTTTCACCACTTTTGCCATTAAGTTAACCCTTAGTAGATAGCACTGAGATACTAAAGGAGAGTTCTTTGCCCTCCTCGTAATAGCAGCTGCCTCACTGTTTTAGTGTCCAGCTAAGGTGAGTCATTAGCATCCACTATCCTGTTGAAAGGAGTAACATTAAAATGTTGATACATGGCCCTGGGAAAGCATCTCTGCAACAAAACTATGAATGGCTGGAGAAATGACTTGGGCTCAAATGTTCAGCAGAGCTTCATGAGGCTCCCTCTTCCTCATGAAACTGCCATACAGTCGCAATGTCTGCCTGAGAGATTCAGCAGTACCCAATATGGGTCCAGGGGGCTTAACAGAACAATGTAACTGCACAATCTGCCCCCCAAGCCCTTGTAACCTGTTGGGCTTTTTAGTGACGTATTGATTAGAGCTGAAAGAAAAAAGCTTCAAACTGCAGCAAGGACTGAAGACTGAACACCCAAAAATGGATCTGCAGGTCCCCTCCCCCTGTCCAAAAGTCATCTTTGCTACCTGCAACTCGTGGAAACAATAAATGGCTTCTTCCTGATGTATCTTCCTGAGACTCTCTATCAGTATCTCTACTCTGTTGCCTTCAGTGTTAAGTCTTTGCTTCCCCAGAACAGAAGCCAACTGGAGATGCCAGGTGCTACCATGTAGTGAGTGCTACTGTGAGTAGTATACAGTGCTAGTATGAGTGATTACTACTAACATGCTGCTACGTAGGAGCATAACAAGGAATCCAGGACCACTCCTAAACTTGCACCTCTGAGCCTCTGCTTTCTCCATTTCTAACCTGGCTCACGTTACTACAGTGACTCCATCCACCTGTACACTATGGACGCCCTGCTCAAGTTCTGACTGGACACACAGCAAGTAAGAATTTACTTTCACTTAGTCTTTGAGATGAGGTTGCTATAAGTTGACTACTGAATATATTGCTTCAGCATTTAAAAGGGTCCTAAACCAATTAATATCTCCTAGTTCTAATCTTTGTGAAGAAATATTTTCAATCTCTGTTTATGGCACTTTGATAACCAGCAAAAAAGCACATTGTTCTTGTGCCAGAAAATGAATACAAGATCTATTGGAGCCTCTGTCACAAGAGACAGGAGCAGGGTAAGAAAGACTAGGCTCAGATATTCAACTCTGGAAGCCAGTGCCATCACCAACCTGAAGACAACCAGCTATATGGTACAGACCTCGTCATAACGATACATCATTTTCAGTCCCCGACAAGACTTCTGTTTTTCCACATGCCGCAGGGCGCACTCCAGGCAGAAGACGACGTTTTCGTTCTCCTGAACCACCTAATAGAAACACAGAGGGAAAACAATTAGATCCAAAACCAAGTCAGATCCAACACACTGTATGGTGCGTAAGTGCAGATTTGGGGAGGGCTTGGCCCAGCACACAGCATTTCTTTTGCTGACTGCCTCTGATTCAAGGGGGCAGAGAGAATAAGTATAAAGAAGAAATCTGTTCACCCAGGGAGAGGCTACAAAAAGAAAACCAAGAATACCTAAGGTAGCAAGTTCCTCCCTGCTCTTTAGAATCAAAGGGGGAGAAGGCAAGTTGTTGCATGTCTGGAAATGTGAGCGATCAGAATTAATTGGGGGGGGGGGGGAGAGGAAAGAAACATGATTTCTCCTGTCCTCTTCACCCAGCATTTCTATGATGAACTATTTAATCTTAAGCATCAATAAATACCAATGCTGCAAGGATAAATGAACGTAATAACTCTCCCTAGCTGAAGCAAAAGGCTGCAGTGACTTTTCTACACCCCGTCAAGAGAAAATGCTCCCGAGTGCTCCTGCTGTCTTCCTCAAACTTCCCCCTCAGTCCATATCCTACTTGCGTTAAGGAAGTCCTGTACTGTAGCAAGTGTCCATGTTTATAATGAGGCACACAACAGGAGTCCTGGCCCCTCCAGCTGTTAACACTCCAGCCCTCTCCAACAAGAGCAGGCTATCAAGAAATCCTCCATAAATTGTAATGTTCTTAATTGAATTCAAGCTATTTAAAATTCTTAGCCATTTTCTGTAGATAAACCAGGGTTTGTTGTTGAATTCAAAAGTGCTTGTTCTTGATTTTAAACTTGCTGCGCTCAGGTGGAGGTGACAGATGAGCCTTCTGAGAAAAGGGATTGTGCTACAAGGTGTGTTGATTAAACCAGGTGATAGGTTGGATGCTGACGGCTCTAAGGACAACCCTTTTGTTACCACATTGCATACTCGACGCAGAGGATGAGAAGCTGGACTCTGAAGAAAATGAAGCAGAGGACATTTTGGGGGTTTATACAGTTCTAACTTGTATTACTAGTAACAGTGATGGTGAAACAGCAATAATCGTGAAGAACAAAACCAAGCTATGACATGGATACAGAATTGAAGCCCTTAAACATCAGTTTAGATACAATCTGGAATGGGGCTAAAATTGGGAACTGCTTCCCAGGATTCCTTAAATCAGTACATTTCACTGATTCCGCATCACTTTTGCTCGGTTCAAAAATGGGGGAAAAATTCCTGACTGCTAGCCTTGCAAACTCTGAACCAACCTGGGTTCTGTCCCTCATCACCGACTTCAAGAATAATACACATCCTATAGGACAAACTCTTCCTTCAGTAAGCAATCTAATAGTCTCTAAACAGGGTGGAAAGATTTAAATGAGTAGAGAATTCAGTCCTGCAACTAGCAAGATAACTTTTCTGTTGCTGATCCCTGAGCCACAGTTGGGTCCAGCTGTCAACTCCTTTGCTATGGTCTCTGCAAGTAACAAGAGAACAAATGCATTTTTCATTCAGTTGAGTTCCTGTGACCAAATTTGCACAGGAAAGTTTGCCTTGTAGGGCATGGACACACACAACACTGAGACTATTTTAGATGTGGTTTAAATTGCAAGTATCCAAATATAGAAATCAAGAGAACAGCTTAAACTCAGACCATTTCAAACACAGACCTGAACTAATCCTCCATGAACTGGTTCAGTGGTACCTGTGGACACTGAGCTTTCCATAAAGCTTTCTGTAAAGCTTTCCAAAAAGTCTGGTCTTTCCTTTTAGATGGTGGTTTTTCATCACAGAAATTCAATTCATCATTAGTTCTGACTAACTTCATTTAAATGTGGCTTATTCAGAGATGAATGTTTATAACTGGAAATCCAGCCAAACAAAGATGGGTAGAAAGACATGAAACACTGACACACCTGCTGGGTGTCAGTCAGCAGTCTGACCCTCTGTGTGTTACATCCCAACTCCTGGACGTAAAGTGTGGCTTTGGTTCCTTTTCCTCTCCCCCCATAACCAAGTGTTTAGCCCTTGTAGTTGTGGAGAAAAATTTGGAAATGTGACCTGGGTTTGCCCTAAAAACCCACTGTCCCCAGCAGAGGTAGGCGCAGTTGAGCTGGCTGTTCTCTAGGCTAGCCTGAGTGCCAGCAGCAGTGAAGCCCTGACAAAGTAGGCTGCGCAAGCCTGCCTGGGATCCTGGGTATGCGTCTGAATTGCCAGCATGCGTCAACTGGGGTGGAGAGCTCTTCAGTTTGTTCCTTTCCCCAAAACAAGGCAGCATGTAGCCCTGACTGCAGGGAAGAGGAAGCTAAAATGAAGTAAACCTTCTATTCACCAGGGATCAGTCAGTGATAAACCTAAATTAAATCTAGTGGTCTTTCAGGCCTGTGCTCTTTGTATTGCAACCTGTGGCTCTGCAGCAGTTGCGTGCTTTTGCCAAGTATTTATGGTCTAATAGGAAAGTCAGCTGAAGATGGAGTTGTGTTTGCAAGGACAGTGATGCCACAGGATGTGCTAAGGATTTTGCTTACCATCGACAGGTAACATAGATGCTGGCAAATCTGACACCTCCTCTCCGACGTCTCTAACTGCAACCACTTTCGAGGCTTTTTCTTTCCATCCATCCCCGAACTGCTGCTGTCGAGGCTCCCATAGCGGGCTGAAGAATGCAGACCTGCCTCATAAAGCTGCTGTCGCTGCCTCAGCTCCGTGTCCCTGCAAATATTTTACAAAATTAGAAAACTGGCATCTCCCCTGCAATGCCACAGAGCTGCACTCAGGTCCCTTTGAACCATGATCGCCATTGAAACCTTCAAACGCAGCAGAACTTCAGGCTCCACCTGAGGCCTGGCACCATTCCCTACAGATGGTAGGAGGGACTCTGCTAGCACCGTCATACCCATACCTAACCACAAAAGTCCTCCGGAGATTTTAATAGCGACCAGTGTATCAAAAGAATGGTTCTTAAACTGATTCACAGAGCACTGGAAACTGCAGAGCACTTCCTTTAGGTCCACAAGTCCACGTGGAGA